TTTGTGTGTATTTATTTGTGTGTCCCAGGGCCCCTTCACACTACTGGGCTGCGAGCACGGATTTGGCCCCCTACCCCCCTCCACACGGCCCCCTTTAGGCCGCGCACCCAAAGTCACTGTTGCCCAGGGTCGCTCTTGCGTGCAGCTGGCTCCTTTTCCTCCCGCTCCTTCTCTGTTGCTATACTACCTTCCCCCTCTCCTGTTTTGACGGTTCGCGTATACACAGAAGCCCATCCAGGAGCGACCAATAGGTTGCGTTATTGTGGTGGTCGCATGCGAATACCTTTGTGGCGCTCTCAGGCACACCTGCGGTGCTCGCAGGCATATCGCGGTGCTCGCAGGCTCGCTGTTTGCGCTCGCGGACATACCGCGAGGATCGCAGGTTTCGTGTCATTGGCATGGTCCACCATACGTTTGCACATGCATATGGCGGTATCAGGCAGCTGTGGTATTTTCACGGTTTGGCTCCCGTCGCCGTCTGGTGGGCGCAAGCATTCTGCTTGCGATGCCCACAGGCGATCCTTTGTGCTCGCCAGCCTTGTTTGTGACAACGCTCGCGAAGGACAAGGAGGATGAGGAGGAGGAGGCGGAGGAGGACCAGTGTAAGCCCAAGAGTCATCAACGGTGTTGGAATCGACCCTCCCTCCAAGCTCTCTCTGCATATGCCCCTACAACGGTTCATTTCCATTGAGGGAGCTGTCTCGTTGGAAAACAACCGTTTGAATATATTGATGCATGTCAAAACATCGTTCTCGGGATTTTAACGCCACGTATCCACCTGACTGTTGCGTCTTGACGATACGGAATCGTGCCAGCGCGCCAATTTTGGGACTTCAACACCTCGAATCAACATAACTGTTGCACCCGCATGATCCTAAACCGTGCCAGAACACCCTTTCTGGTATGTTGATCATGGGGATCCGTGAAACGTTGGCAAAGTTTGACAACGAATGTGCGCGGCGCTACGGCGAGAGCCACATATTTAAAACGATCCGCCATCAATCCGTGAAGCTCTTGCAAATTTGCAGAGACGAATGTGCGCGGCGCGATGGCGAGAGCCACTGTTTGGAAACGGCCCGCCCTCAATCCGTGCAGCTTTTGCAAATTTTAAATATCAAATGTACGCGGCGCTCAGGCGAGAGCCACATTTTGAAAACGGCCCGCCCTCAACGCGTGAGGCTCTTGCAAATGTTTACAACAAATCTGCGCGGCGCTGAGGCGAGAGCCACAGTTTGAAAACGACCTGCCCTCAATCCGTGAAGTTCGTGTACATTTTGGAAGCGAATGTGCGCGGCGCTAAAGGTGAGAGCCACAGTTTGAAAACGACCCGCCGTCCATCTGTGAAGCTGCTGCCACTTTTTGAGCTTCAAAGCCACAAGTGTTGAGGAAATCTCAGGCGAAACGCTTGGCCCGCCCCCCCCCCCCCCCCCCTCAAAACAAAAGACGGGCCTCGGGGTGCGACAGGGAGAAGTTATCTATAAAGGGGAAGGAGGATGAGGAGGAGGAGGAGACGGAGGGAGGATCGAGCAGGGTGATAGTCACAAGCTTGTGTGGACAGGCTGGTGGCATGGGATGTGCACAGGCAGGTTGCGCGCTCGCAGGCACGTCGCTGTGTTCGAAGTGGCGCGAGGTGTTTGGCTACATGTCGTACCGCTTGCAGGCCATATTGTGCGGCTGGCACAGTCTACATGTGCATGTGTGTGTTGTTGTTGTTGTTGCTTGCAAGCGCAGGTTGGAGTTCGTAGGCACCTTGCTTGTGGTCTTCGCAAGATTTCGTGGTTCTCGCAGGTATGGCGTTTGAGCCTTCTATGCTTGGGAACTGGCACAATGTCTGGCATCTATAGTTCATACGTGTGTTTCTGCTCTTGTTCACAGAGTCGCCGTGGCAAGACTGCAATATGCCATTTCTGTGTTATAACGGACTTGCTCGGCACGGGGTGCGGTCCACAAGCTTGAGTACACCACACTGCCAGTGGTGTACACAGGCCGTACGGTGTGCACATCCAATGTGGGTGGCGCGAACAGCTGCTGATGCAGCCGCATCTGTGGTGCACACATGTATTGTGCTGTGCACGAACATTGTGGTGTACACGGGCATCGTTGTGCACACAGGCCTTGTGGTGTGCACGGACGTTGCGGTGTACACATGCGCTGTGGTGCACACTGACCTTGTTGCCAGAGCAGCCGTAGGATCCATGAGCACTGCTATCTACACAGGCGTTGGGGTGCACAGTTTGGTGTATGCAGGCGTTTTCGGCCCAGCAAGCATGAGACCGCTCCCCAAAATAACCAATGTACGCAAGTAATTCACATTTTGAATTTGATAATTCGCCCCGTGATTTGGCCTCGTTGGGACCAAATCGCCAGGACCCCTGATGCGCATGTGTCTTTTGTGGTGTACACAGGCACTGTGGTGTACAGGCGCTGTGGTGCACATCGGTTGATGTTGAAGCAGCAGTTTTGGTGGTGCACGCAGACGTTGCGTACGGTATACAAAGGCGCTGGTGTACAGTTGTCGCGGTGGACACGTCTGCTGTTATGTCCACAGGCGTTGTGGTGTGACTCTTCTGGACAGGCATGGTGGTGCAAGCTCGCGCTTGTGCACACGTGAACTGTGGTGTGTACACACATTGTCATGGGTGCAGGCCCTGCCCCGGGCGCTTCGTGCCCGCACAGGGGTGGATAACGCACCTCCAGCGCGCCGTAGGGAGGCGACGCAAGGGGGTGGTTGATGTAGCCAACGCAGGGAGTTGTATACTGGAATTCGAACATGATTCTTGTTCTAGGATCGCGGCACGTAGCGGCACTCAGTGGCACGCGCGCTTGTGGCTCCAATGGGGTCGGTGGTCTCCCTCACGCGCCAGGCTGCTGGTGGCCGCGCCAGTGGCCACTGCGGCCGCTAGTGGCCGCTAGTGGCCGCCAAGTGTCGCTCAATGGCTTCTGGTGGCCGCTGAATGGCCGCTGAATGGCCGTTAAACGGCCGCTAGTGGCCGTTAAACGGCCGCTAAATGGCCGCTATTTGGCCGCTAAATGGCCGCTATTTGGCCGCTGAATGGCCGCTGAATGGCCGCTAGTGGCCGCTAGTCGTACGGCGCTAGTGGCCGCTGATGGCCGCCACAGGCCGCTAGGGGCCACTACGTGTCTCGAAATTGTGGTTTTCGGATGTCGTGGTGGTCAGTGCGAAGTTCCCCAAAGAGGCGTCAGAAGGGTAGGGGATTACGCACCCCCAGCTCGCCAGGGTGCACGTCGCGTTGTTCCTCCCTCCCGCCTCCTTCCCTTCATAACGCGCACTATCCCCGTGAGTGAGACACCCTCTTGGCGAGTTGTCTTGATCAGAGGCGTTCAGCACCACATCCAAAAGTCAACCGTTAAAGACTTTCGCGGATCTCTGGCCCCTTGGAGGCGTCTTGGAGAACCATTGGTGTGATCTTCGACGGCTCTGGGGCTCTCCCGGGGGCCCGCCGGGGCTCTGCTGGGGCCCTCCGGGGGCTCTTTTTGGGGGCTCCCCTGGGGCCATCTGAAGGCCATCGAGCAAAGAAGGGAGGCTCTCACAGTCGGGCCGAGGTATAAGATCGAGGTCGGTTCGGGGAGGGTGCTCTGATGTTCTTCGTGCTCGCTGGATGCTCTTGTGCACGCTGGGGAGGGTACCCTTGGAAGCTCTGCTCGTTTTGGCCGACGGAGGGGCTCATGTTCTTGAGGGGTGTTCTTCTGGCTGAGGTCCGTTTGTAATTGCCCTCCCCCGTCAGAGGCTAATATGTTTGCCTCTTTGGGCGCTCCTGGGGCACAACTCATGGGGTCGTCTCGAAGCCCTCAGGCGCCCCCCCTTGCGGCTCTCTTTCGGCATCGTCCTGAGATGCCGCCCAGAAGCTCTCGATGATCATCAGGACATGGGTTAGCCCAATGTGTGTTTATCCCGTTTAGCCCAGCCAGTAGAGATTTACATCGCCTGCGTCGTATCGAAGGGCCTCGATGGACAAATTTGCGTTGGAGATAACACACCTTCTGAGGATCATGGAAGCTCATCGGAAGCGAAAAGAAGTGGGCCATCAATATTGGGTTCCGACGTTCTTGAAAGCGTGCAGCTTCTCCGGGGCCCTCCTTGTGATCGGCGTCGCCCAGAGCCATATTAATGAAATGTGTGTGTGTGTGTGTGTGTGTGTGTGTGTGTGCGTGCGTGTGTGTGTGCGCCGCCTTCCGAAAGGCGCCGCGCGCGCCGAGACAATTTTCTTCACGCTTCGGGTTTCCCCACCAGCGTCCGTAGCCATTTCGGCTCAAGGCTGTGGGCGCGGCCAGGACTTCCGAGCTCGGCCCGCGCGCGGGCCATGCCGCAGGGCCGCGGGCCCCCCGGGCCAGGGCCGCGCCGGCCTCCGGTGGTGCTGGCGCTCTGGCTCCTGGCGGGCACCACGAGATCCCTGCCCGGGGATGGCCTGGCGGAGCGGCCGCCGATGGGCTACAACTCGTGGAACGACGTCGAGTGCAACCCGAGCGAAGGCCGTCTGAGGGCCAGCGCCGCCAAGCTCAAGTCGTCGGGGCTCGCGGCCCTCGGCTACGAGTACGTGGTCGTCGACGACTGCTGGATGGAGAGCAGGAGGCCCGCCGACGGCAGCCTGGTGCCCGACCGCAGCGCCTTCCCGGGCGGCATGGACGGGCTGGGCCGCTACCTGCATGGCATGGGCCTCAAGTTCGGCATCTACACCGACCGAGGCGAGACCACCTGCGCGGGGAGGCCGTCGAGCCGAGGCCACGAGGCGCTGCACGCGGAGCAGTTCGCCTCGTGGGGTGTTGACTTCGTGAAGAACGACGGCTGCAACGACCCCGAGTGCGGGGACGCCATGCAAGGCTTCCCGCAGTCGGGGTCGTGCCCGAGGTCCGGCCGGCTTGAGGTGGTGAAGAAGTATTTGGCGATGGCCAAGGCGCTGAACCGCAGCGGGCGCCCCGTCATCCAGTCCATCTGCGGTTGGCAGCCCTGGTTCGCGCCCGTGGGCCGGCACATCGGGCACATGTGGCGCATATCCGCGGACGTGCGGCGGTGGGCCGACGTGTTCGAGGCCACGCAGATCATGGCGCGGCTGCGGGAGTACCACGGCCCGCACGGGTGGAACGATCCCGACATGCTGATCGGCAGCAGCCAGGGCGCCAGGCTGGTGCTGACCCCACAGCAGTCCCGGGCCCAGTTCTCGCTGTGGGCCGTCATGTCCGCGCCGCTCATGCTCGGCGCCAACATGCAGGAGCTTAGCCAGTTCGATCTGGAGACGTACAGCAACGCAGATGCGATCCGCGTCAACCAGGATCTGTCCGACCAGCCCGCTGGCAGGGTAGTGCTGAACAATTGCCCGCCGTACCCGGAGTTCCACTTGGGGCTCGGGCCCGACCTGGCCCCGGAGTTCGACGTGTCCAGCGCCGGGGGGCCCATCCAGCTGGACCCACCGAAGGCAGCCGCGGATCCAGACACGCCGTCTGGATGGGGCAGGTCCGTCGATTCGGCCAGCGGCAAGACGTACTACTACGATCTGACCAGCGGCAAGACCCAGTGGGAGCCGCCGCTGGAGGCGAGGCGGTACGCCAACAAGGTGAGCTGCGGCGGCCACTACGAGCCCACCTGCGAGACGTGCCCCAGGGGCCACGGCGCAGCGTACTGCCACGGGGACTGCGGCTGGAACCACACCCTGAACAAGTGCGTCGACGGTTCACTCTACAGGCCCCCGTTGCCAGACCGGCCGGGGCCCTGGAGCCTCGGCGACGCCAAGGCGCCGCACAACCACCAGTGCCAGATCGTGTGGGCCAAGACCCTCAGCACGCAGAGCGTCGCCCTCGTGGCCGTGAACTTCGCGCAGGTCCCGGAGCGCGTCACCCTCTCGCTGGCGGACCTGGGCTTCCCCGCCGCCGCGCACAGGCGGGATCTCTGGACTAAGGACACGGTGCTCGTCAACTGGAGCATCGACGTTGAGCTGGCCGCGGACGGGGGGAGCGTGCTGTGGGAGCTTTGGGCCCCCGGGGCGCCGGCGCCTGCGCCGATGGCCAGGACGGCGGCGCCGTCTGTGGCGGTGGTGCCGCGGGGCGAGCACCGGACCCACGTGGACCTCCAGCCGGACCTCTCCTTGGTGTCTTTCACGGGGTTCGCGGTGCTGGTGCTGCTCGCCATGCTCCTCTGCAGGCGCCACTGCTCCAGCGGTTATGGTCGGCAGGGCGCCGGCAGCCCCCGGTCGCCGCCCACCTCGCCGGCGGCGGCGACGATCGGCTCCCACGGCATGATCGACCAGCCCTCGCTGCGGCCGCCCTCGCCGCGGCAGCGGCGGCTGGCGCCGTAGCGCAGCGATGCGCAGCGCGCGGCGTAGCGCGAGACTGGTCGTTCTCGATTGGGAAAAAATGACCAGACCCCTCGCGCGTGGTCGCAGGGAAACCACTTCGGCCCTGGGCGCTGGTCTGCTGGCCTCCCCCTCCGTTGAGGTCTCTCCCCGGCCGTTCTCCGTCGGTTCGGCCATCGCCTGCCCCGCCTTCCGCCCTCTCCCGCGGCCCACCCGCGGTTGCTATGGCCTGGTGCCCAATGCCACCCGGCGCGCACCCTGTTGGGGCTGTCGGTGCTCGTCTGGGTTCTCAGTGTTTCTTCGGCATTGGGCCCCCTTGTGGCCCTTCACCTCTCGGTGCGGAGCCGCCCCCCTGTGCCTCGCCCGCCATGGGGCTCTCGGGGCTCCTTCGCTGCTCTACAATGCTGTTTTTAATCAGTACATGCTCCGCGTGCGGATCATGTAATGATTAAAAATGCAGGGATGTAGTGATAGAATCAACGATGAGTTCATGCATAAATTTATGCATGCATTAGTCATGTACTAAACATCCTATATGTTTAAAATCCCATGTGTTAAAAACTGCCCTGTGCCGTCCCTCCCCGCACGGGGTCGACGGACACCTGGTCCTCCCCCACCGCGTCTGCTCATCCCCGGCAGTTCTCTGGCTGTGCCCTCCGGCCCTCCTGGGCGGCGAGTGTCTGCACCCGCCCTCGGCATTAGCAATTTCTTCAGGAGGGGAAAAAGCACACAGACACAATTCAGCGTCGATTTCCCAGAAAGTATGGGAAAATATGGGAAGTGGGGGGGGGGGGGACAAGAACCCAGAAAATATGGGAAAGTAGGGGGAATCCTGTTATTTGTGTGTGTGTGTGTGTGTGTGTGTGTGTGTGTGTGTGTGTGTGTGTGTGTGTGTGTGTGTGTGTGTGTGTTA